GGATCTGAGAAGACTAGACCAGTAGGAAGGTGCAAGGTTGTGAAGAGCTTTAAATGCCAAGCAGAAGAGTTAACATTTTTCCCTAGTGGTAAGAGGGAGCCACTGCAGTTTATTGAATAAGGGAGTGGCATAGTCAGGCTTTCACTTTTTTTTGGGGGGGGGAATGAGGCAATTGGGTTCAAGTGACTTACCTTGGGTCACACAACTAGTAAGTGTCCATGTCTGAGGCTGGATTTGAGCTCCAAGACTGGTGCTCTATCCACTGCACCACCCAGTTGCCCCAAGTCTATCACTTTACAAAAATCGCCTTAGCAGAAAGGTAACCCAGTGGGATGATAGCTTGAGAAAACTGGGTTCTAGTCTAGTCTCAGAAATAGGTGAAATACCAAACTTTTGGGAAACCATTGATCTGTCTCTAAAGCACCTGAAACTTTCCAAAGCACTTTTCCTTCCATTTTATCATCACAATAACTTTGTGAGGTATATAGGGCATGAATAGTTCTCATTTTTCCAAGGTGATTTGCCCTGGCTTATACAGCAAGTCAAGGACAGAACTAGGAAAAAAAAATTAAAACCCCTGACTCCAGGGATCAACATCCTTTGTATTACACCAACCTGGTCCTCCTAATGTCTAATGTGCTCTGCCCCAGTTCCCCTCTGTAAATGGGAAGTGCCATAGGAACTTTGCTAATGCTAGGTTATTATGTTATGGAGGCAAAGAGATGGCTAGATTGCTGGACTTGGAGTCCAAAATGATCTGAGTTCCTAACTATACAACCCTGGGCAAATCACTTAACCCCTCTTTGCCTGAGTTTCACCATCTGTAAAAGGGGGATAATAATAATACCTACCTCACAAGGGTGATGAAAAGAGTAAACATGTAAAGCATTTTTGCAAACTTTGAAGCATCATCTTTGTAAATACTAGCTATCACTCTTATTAGTGATGTTAATTAATCAATTAACAAATATTTATTAAGCACCTACTATGAGCCAGGCTAGATGGTACAATGGATAGAGTGTCAGGCCTGGAAGCAGGAAGACTCATCTTTCTGAGTTCAAATCTGACCTCAGACAATTACTAGCTGTATGACCCTGCACAAGTCACTTTACTCTGTTTGCCTCAGTTTCCTCACCTATAAAATGAGCTAGAGAAGGAAAGGGCAAACCACTCCAGTATCTTTGCTAAGAAAACACCAAATGGGTTCACGAAGAGTCGGACACAACTGAAAACAGCTGAACAACAACAAACATGCCAGGCTGCTGTTGTTAGTATCATGGTTTCCGTATAAGGTAACCAGCCATTGTTCACCTGTCCTAACCTTCATGCCCTCCACCTATGGCTGTTTCTTGAAAATGGACCTCCTAATTAGCCACCTAATAAGATAGTTTGGCCAGTTGGTCAATAAACCTTCATTAAGCACTTATTATGTACCAGGCACTGTTCTATATTCTGAGGATAAAAATACAAAAGTGAAATGTGGTCCCTGGCCTCAGAGGAGTTAACAATCTCATGAGGAAAGACAATACCCCAAAATAAGCTGAAGAGTAGTGGGCAGGTACTATATTTGAGAGTATGATGGATAAATCCAAAGAAGTACAGCCTGGTGGGAAATGGGACTTGGAAGAAGAGGTCCTGGATTTAAACCTCTCTGGGTCTCAGTTTACTCAACTGAAAAGTAAGAGGGTTGGAAATTCAATGACAGCTCAGGGTCCTTCCAGCTCCAAATCTATGCTCCCATGATCCTAAAAATTAGAGCAAGGCAGCCCCATGCACCCCTATCTACATTTGTTTTGCTTTATTTTCAGTTAGAAGAAATAAGGGAGACATTGATAGCACAAACAGCTGTAAAAGTAGCCAAAAGTCACCATCGTCTAGACAAACAGATTTTATGGATCCAATTAATTCTGCTGCTCAAAAATAGGCATGGTTAATAGGTGGCTATATTTAGACACCCGTCATTATCTGGCTGCCCCAGGGAGGACTTATCCCACTTATTTCATAAGTTCTTAATTCCAAACAGAGTTTTGTCCATTGCCACTTTGGATTCTAGATCAGAGTTGGGGGAGTGGGGTGGGAGACTCCATCGACTCCTAGAAACCACTTTGGCCCTTAGGGACTTGGCTTTTCAGTCACTTGAGCCAAGGAAAGAAAATTGGAGAGTTTCTTTAAGGTGTTGTCATCATAGTAATGTAAAATCACCCATGCAATATATTTGGAAAGTAAGGGGCACTGGTTGTACATGCTGCTTTAAAAAAAAATCCCATTACCACAGAGGTATAGATGTCTGCATTCTACCATTAGTGATCCATTTCTTAGAATATGAATACATTGGAATACTTCATTTCCTTCAAAATTCTGTTCAAGTGACACCTTCTACATGAAGCCTTTCCTAATTGCCCCCTGCCCAAGCTGTTAATGCTCTCCCCTGCCCAAAATTTTTATTTTTACATATGTTTTGCAAATACACATTTATGTACATCTTGTCTCCCCAGGTGGAATGTACACTGCTTAAACGACGAGGACTGTTTCATTTTTGTCTTTATTTCCAGAGCCTAGCAGAGTGCCTGGCACTTAGTAGGTGCTTAATAAATGCTGGTTGATTGATTGGTTGAAAGTCCTCTATTAAAATAAAAATTCTACTGTAAAAGATAATACTCTAAGCTATAATCAGCCAATTATAGTTTTATTGGTAGAACTAACAACTAGAAATTTTTTCACCCATAATGAAAACACTTGGGGATGGAGTTGCAGGTCCAGTCACCCCAAGTGAGATACAACCCTCACCTCCATGGGCCTGGAAAAGGAGTGCCACACCAATATACCCTCGGGGTGATGGCTGCGTTGGCTGGAGGAGTACCATGAGTTAAGTCTCAGACAGAAAGGAAGCCCACTCCCCAAGAAGAAAACGTACTTCTTGCTCTAGATAGAGCCCTGGGGCAAAGCTCCATGCATCTCATACAAATTACGGCATTTTCTCTAGATATACTACCTCATTTGTTGAGCTCATCGGCTCCCAGGGATTTAATTATCATCTCTCTGCTAATAATTCTCAGATCTACCTATCCTGCCCTAACCTCTCTCCTGACATCCAATCTTACATCTCCAATTGCCTTTCAGATATCTCAGACTAGATGCCCAATAGACATCTTAAACTCAACATGTCCAAAACAGAACTCATTATCTTTCCCCAAAGTCCTCCCTGCTCCCACCTTCCCTATTACTGTAGAGGGCAACGCCATCCTCCCAATCCTTCCAACCTGGGCTCCCAACCCAGTGTCATCCTCAACTCCTCCCTATGTCTCCCCCTATATCCAAGCTGTTGCCAAGGCCTGCAACCTTTTGTAGCATCTCAATACAGCCCACTTGTCCTCTGACACTGCCACCACTCTAGCGCAGGCCCTCATCACCTCACTTAGTCTATTGAAATAGCTGCTTGTGGGGCTTCCTGCCTCAAGTCTGTCCTCATGCCCATCAATCCTCCATTCAGCCACCAAAGTGATTTTCCTAAAACACAAGTCCAACCGCATCACCCTCATAGTCAGTAAACTCCACTGGCTCCTATTGCCTTCAGGATCATATTTAATAATCTCTGTTTGGTGTTCAAAGCCTTTCCTAACCTAGCCTTCTCTTATCTTTCCAGTCTTCATACATTTTACTCCCCACCATATAGCGATACTGGCCTCCTTGGCTGTTCCTCAAACAAGACACTCCATCTCTTGGCTCAAAGCTTTTTCTCTGGCTGTCTTCCATGCCTGGAATGCTCTCCCTTCTCATCTCCTCCTTTTCCTCCTGGCTTTCCTAGCCTCTTTTAAATCCCAGCTGAAATCCCATCTTCTCCAGGAAGCTTTCCCCAACGTTTCTTAATTCTAATGTTTTCCCTCTTTTAGTTATCTCCTTTTTGTATCCTATAGTTTGTTTGTACATATTTGTTTGTTTGTCTCCCCCATTAGATCATGAGTTTCTTGAGGGCAGGGTTGTCTTTTTGCCTCTTTTTGTATCCTCCTGCACTTAGCATATATTAGCTCTTTAATAAATGGTTATTGACCAACTGGCTGGTTCTATTTATTGGGGCATTAACTAACAGCTAGTTGAAAACAATATAGACACCTGGAAAGAGTAGGGGGCAACCGGGGTGGTCCAAGATCCCCCCAGAGAGGGGCACTGAATGGAAAGGCAAATATCCAAGACACATTTCACTCAACATGGTGAAATGTGAGAATATTAGAGCTGGAAGAAAACAGTCCAACCCTTCATTTTTCCTATAAAGAAACTATGCCCCAAAGGTGAATTCCAAGGTCATGTAACCAGTCAGTGGCAAAACCAGGATTAGAACCCACATCTTCACTGCCTGCCAGTGCCTACTGGGAGTGGAATTCTCTGAATTCAGAGAGAGAGAGAGAATCCATAGCTTCTCTTCCACCCCTTTCCCCCAATCATTGTTTCCACCAGAAGACAATGTGTTGTGTGGTATCATGTTGTGTTGTATGTAAATCACCCAAGAACAGACAGATCTAATTTCCTGAAAACACACACATGTGTGTCTGAGTAAGCTCCAAGACAAAAGGCAAAGTGTTTGGCAGCTTTTGCCTTCCATACCAGTGCCAAACCCCAGATTTCTCTGAAGATGACTGATGCTCTGGGCCCATATTCCTGGACTGCCTGCCTCTTCTGCCTGAAGTGAAGACAGGGACTTAGGGGATAGCCAATGCCACCAAGAAGTGCTCCACACTGTAAAAGTGGGCTGTCAGTATCTCTTGTCCTCCCCAGTTCGTCTCTGTCATGGGTCTCTGTCATGGGTCTATTTCACTATTATGGGTATGTAGGTCCAGACTAGAAAGTTTGGAGATGTCCTTCCTCCACGATGGTTCCTGCCTCCCTTGCTCTCAGCATCTTTCTCCCCAATCCCTGCTTCTTATGTTTAAAAGCTGTCTGAACCCTCTACCAGAACTGATACCCCACACTAGGAAGAACTCACCCTCTCTCCTCTTTCTTCCTAGGTTGGTGGTGGGAGCTCCATTTGAAACCAATGGTCACCAGAAGACTGGGGACATTTACAAGTGTCCAGTGATACAAGGAAATTGCTCCAAACTGAACCTAGGTAACACTACTCATAGTACCTGGTAGGGAGTAGATCAGGGGTGGGGAACCTGTGGTCTTGAGGCCACATGTGGCCTTCTAGGTCCTTGAGTGCTGCCTTTTGACCGAGTCCAAGTTTTACAGACCAAATCCTTTTATTAAGGGGATTTGTTCTGTGAAGTTTGGATTCTGTCAAAGGGCCACACTTGAGAATCTAGAGAGCCGCATGTGGCCTTGAGGCGCAAGTTCTCCACCCCTGGAGTAGACTCTTCTGTTACGTCTTTTTAAGGTAGCACGATATAGTGGATATGGCTCTGGGCTTGGAGATAAGGGAGGTCCTGGGTTCAAATCCTACTTTGGGCACCTAGCCGTGTGACTTTAGACAAACTTCACCATCTTAACCCCATCATAAACCAGTTAGACTCTACACAATTTTCTACTCTGTAGCCTGTAAACTAGGTGGCCTACTGACTAAGAATGGCTTTTACATTTTTAAATAAAGTCTTACTGTATTTTAAAATATAAAAACCATCCTTAGCCCCTAGCCTTACAAAAACTGATGGCAAGTCCAATTTGACTCTCGAGTGGTAGTTTGTTGACCCCTACTCTAGTGCCTTGCCCCCTTATCCTACCATTGATTCAGCCTTGCCAATCCTTAGCCCTGGTTTACTCTCACCACCTTTGCTCCTGTTCATGTATAGCTGAATGAAGCTGGAGGAAATAACCTGCTACCAATGTGGGAATTATTTCTGAATCACCCTATCTGTGTACGGTCAGTACAAAGACCAAATCAGCACCATAAATAAAGTTGAAAAGGAATGTTGGGCAAACAAACCAGCTCCAAGATGACCTATTTAAACAAACTAGGAGATGGAGCAAGAAACAGAAATTAAGAAGTGCTATCACTATTTCCTACTGGAGTTAAACAAATTATAAAGCATCCCAACAAGGTTGCCAGAGTAGCCTAGAAACTGCCTCAAATAGCAAATTCGGAATTTGTTAGCTGAACAGAGGCACATGTAGCAACCAAGGCCAAAACAAGTTTAGCATGCAAAAACGCATTTGTAAAATCTTAAGGAACCACAGAATGGAAGATTATAAGCAATTTCAGCTCGTAAAACAATGAGCAGTGGAAAGAATAAAGCTGCAGATAAAGTCGCAGAAGATTTGGTCTGAGATGCTATGACCGACCTTGATAATCCCGAGAGCAGTTAAGGATAAGATTGGCAGAGCAACAAACTTGATAAACGGAAAAGGATTATGAAGATTTTCTGAAAAATGTACTATTTTCTCCATCAATGCCAGTGAAATTATGATGGCTAGACATCAGTGTCACAGTCCCCAATAAGCTGCATGTGGAAGTGGAGATAGCACTTTAAAACAAAGACAAGAAAGTAGCCGGACCAGACCAAGAAAACACAGTGGATACTCATCCAGGAACATATATCATTTTAAGAATATTAAGGGATCCTGCCCCAAGGTATCAGAAAGGAAAGGAGATATCAGGATTAGAAAAAAATAAATCACAGATGTTTCTATTACCAAGAAGACGAGCAAGAAGAAATCACTAAATAACAGCTTATTTGCCTACTTTCTCGTCTCTACAAAACCTTTAAGAAAAAAATTTACATACATATTGAGGCTTTCCTAGGGGAAAAAAAATATGAGAAGAGAAAAGGCAGACTTTTCAAATAATATTCTGTGTCAGACCACATCTTTACAGTCTATAGTCGACCAAAAAAATGTAGAGAACACAAGTTCCACCTCTGTTTATTGTTTCTTCGTCATAAAAAGCATCAATTTGGTAAGAGCAGAATGGAACCTTAAAGGCTTTTCTCCAACAGGGTGTTTCCCATGCATATATCAAGACCATACAAGAGTTTATGACTGATACAACAGAGAGGACTTTATTGGTGGACCTCTGATTATTAATAACAAGGATTGAATACAATAGCGAGGCAAATGCTAGCCAAAAGTGTTTGCAGCTGTCATGGAAGACTGTTTAGAGCAGAGATCAAATGGAAGAAAGGTTACCTACAGATCAAGAGTGCTTAAATTGAGATTGGTGGATGGATTTCAGAGGGTCCATAAACTTGGATGGGAAAAAATACAGCTTTATATTTGGTTTCCTTTGTAATTTGATGTATTTTAAGCATTTTAAAGGGGCAACTAGATAGTACACAGTGGATAGAGTGCAGGGCCTGGAATCAGGAAGACTCATCTTCCTGAGTTCAAATCTGGCCTCAGACACTTAACTAGTTTACTTAGTCTAGATGAAGTCCTCCAGATTTTTTTCTTCATAGATGGTATCATGTTGATTGCATCAAGGAAAACATTACATTGGATCTCAATGAGATCCAAAATCACACACACACACACACACACACACCACACACACACACACACACACACACACATACACACACGCACACACACACTTTAGCCTCTCTAGCCACACAGGCTAAAAAAAAACTGAGTGAAGAATGCCATTTGTCCAGACTGGGATACGCAGTTGATTGGATGACCCACAGAGCTCACCCAACAGTATATGTATCTTAGAAAAGCTACCACACATGAACAATAAATTGGGCCCAAAATTGAATGGAGGATGAGAGCAGCTTGATTGCATTTGACCTCAAGTTTCTCCCTGAACCAAAATCCCATCTTTTTAACATTAATTTTCTTCTGCTGATGTCATTTGGCTGCAAATCATGGGATACCACAATTTCCTAAGACTGAAAATTGTAGGTCCCTCAAAAGGCAAGGGAGATGCATGGTGGGCATGAATAGATTATAGCATGTTATGAATGACAAATTGCTTGTATGAAGTGATATAAAATATATCATTAAAAATGTATACAATCAAGAAAAGAGGAAGGCTGATCATGTAGTGAGAGTGAGGGTTTAGAGAGTGACAACCCATCTCTCTAGGGCTAGGAGATAAAGAAGAAGTTCCTACCACTGTGGGTGAGTCCCTATAGAGGATTTATGAGAGGAAATGGAGAAGAGTACCATAGAAATGGAAAGCAGCATAGTATGGTAGGAAGAGTACTAACTCTGGACTCAGAAGATCTGGGTTCAAATTCCACACCTGATGATAAGCCCTTGGGAAAGTCAAGGCTCCCTGAGCCTCATACAGTTACTCCTTCATCTGTAAAATGAGGTGGGTAGACTATATGGCTCCTGAAGTCCCTCCCAGCTTTAGATCTATGAAGGATGAGAAGGCATGGGTGGGTCACAGCGGGCATCTTTGGGGAATGGATGATGTCACAAATCCACTGAAGTACTGATACATTCTCTAACCTCTTGGGGGAGCTAGTGCAATCACAGAAAGATGCCAATTTAGCTGTTGAGACAGCTTTCATGATGGCGCAAAAGTCCTAAGAGACTGTCCTGGTTTCAAAACAATCATAAAGACAGTTCTGGCCACGCCTTCCTATTGTGCCCCACTTCCCTGAGAGTAGGGACAGAAGAGAGGGACTACATGGGAGCCAGACTCCTCCCCGATGAGCAGGGGAGACCCCCTAAGTATTAGGAAGATAAGCAGATGGATGAAAGGCTATCATCAAAGCTAAACTCTAAGAATACACAGATCCCAGCCAAGAAGCCAAACCACCAGCTGTCCCAGTCACATGATGGTGTTACATCCAGATGTCAACAGCAGTAGTTGTTCCAACGCCACAGGTTAGAAACTTAAGACATAGTTAGAACCCTCTCTCTCTCTCTCTCTCTGTCTCTCTGTCTCTCTGTCTCTCTGTCTCTCTCTGTCTCTCTCTTTGTCTCTGTCTCTCTGTCTCTCTCTGTCTCTCTCTGTCTCTGTGTGTGTGTGTCTCTCTCTCTCTGTCTCTCTGTATCTCTCTCTGTCTCTGTCTCTCTCTGTGTCTCTCTCTCTGTCTCTCTGTCTCTCTCTGTCTCTCTGTCTCTGTCTCTCTCTCTGTCTCTCTCTGTGTGTCTCTCCCTGTCTCTCCGTCTCTCTCTGTCTCTCTGTCTCTCTCTCTGTCTCTCTCTCTCTCTCACTTAGTTGGAGGAAGGAGGAGGAAGAGAACGATCTTATGAAAGAGGGTAGAACCACATCATTAGGGTTTAGATTGCCTCTATGTTTGTTGCCCTAACTGGGGTGAAATCACACCTTCCCCAAACCCGCTCATTCCCAGGATCATCAATTCAGAGTTTAGTCTAGCCCTCTCATTTAATAATACATGAAGAAACTGAGGCTGTCAGAAGGAACATGACTTGCCCAACCAACGTCATAGGGAAATATTTGGCTTGCTGCTCCCAGATCCCCTTATATAAATCTTGATTAACCCCAAGACCATCTATCTGAGCACCACTGAGCATAAAAATGAGAAAAATGAAATGACAACAATCTATGCACTAAGCATTGGGAATAGGACACTTACTAGCTGTGTGACCATCAGTAAGTCACTTAACCCTGTTTGCATCAGTACAACTGTAAAATGAGCTGGAGTTTAAATGGCAAACCACTCCAGGATCTTTGCCAAGAAAACCCGAAAAAATGAGGTCATGAAGAGTTGGACATGACTGAAATGACTGAACACAGATGAAGAAATTGAGGCGGAAATAGCTCAGTGACTTGCCCAGAGTCACACAGCTAGGAAGTGTCTAAGGTGAGATTTGAACTAAAGTATTCCTGACTCCAGGTTCAGTGGTCTATCCACTGTACTTCCTACCTCTCTAAAATCTACATTCCCTTAAAAAACAATTGAAAGCAAAAATCGACACAAGGCTATGCAGGGAATCAAAGCAATGCAAGAAAACACAATAAACAATTCAACATGAGTCTAAAACTTTACTACAGAAACTTGAGCAATCAGAGGAGAGAGAGAATGCCCAAAGAAAGAGAACATGTAAAACGTTTGGTCATATATACGATCACAAGAAACCAAACACAATAAAAATACAAATTGGATCAAAGAAGAAACAGAAAGCTTGCAAATAGTTAATATAATGAATGACAGAACAGTTGCATCAAGGGAGATGACTGAAACTCTAACTTCTCGG